CCCCCCCCAGAGGAAGCTCTCACGCAGGCCTGAGCCCAGGGCACACATCTCCCCCGCACCTCCGTCTTTACAGGAGGCTGTCAACACTCCCATTTTACAGGTGACAAGTGGAGGTTCCTCTACTCAACATGTACTTCTTCAGCCCCATGCGATGTGCAGCCACGGGGCAGACATCCAGCCGTCAGCCTTTAGCGGCTTCCAGGTAACAGGAGACAGGCAATTAACTGATAATGACACAGACGGGGAATTGAGTGCAGTGCCAGTAAATTCCGCCGAGTTGAGAAGCACAGGGGGGGGCCTCCGCGGCTCAGAGACGGGAGTTGCCGTCCCAGGACTGCACAGCCAGCCCCTGGCAGAGGGATCCCTGCCCTCCCCGTGGTGCGAGCTGTGGCTCAGGAGGGCCCCTCCGAACAGGCTGCAAAGATCCCCGGCCCGCAGTAGCTGGGAGAGGGGTCCGCGACCGCCCACGTGGCAGGGGCAGGGCTACGAGCAGAGGAGCGGGGTTGCCAAAGGCGGGTCCACGGGTCTCTCCCGTGCTGTACTTGGAGGAAGGGGGTTCCCCTCGTGGGGGGCCCGCCGCCCTCGTTCTGCTAGGCTAGGGATGTAGGTGAGGCTCCAGCAGTGTGCTAGTCAGTGCGGTCACCCACAACGGAGAGAAAACTGGCCCTGAGCGAGGAGCTTAGGCGAAAGGAAGATCGTGATGTGCGTAACTCAAAAATGCAGGGCAGGGCTTCAGGCCCGGCTCCATCCGGGAGCAGCCAGCATCGCTCCCCCAGGGTCTTGCTCTGCCAGGACTGGGTCCCTGCCCACGTCCGAACCAATCACAGAGGGGCTGCGTGGGTAGAGGCTTCGCCCAAACCCTCTGGGCCAGGACAAAGGAAGGAGGCCGGTCCTCCAGAGGGGTGCAGCCCCACACAACAGAGCTTGCACTTATAAGGAGTCGTTCCCCAAATAGCACGGGGTGGGGGGGGGGGCGTGCTGTGCTTGTTTGGCATGTATTATCTCACCTAATACAGAGGGGCCTTTATGTGCCCGCTTTGTAGACGAGGAAGCCAAGGCTCAGAGAGGTCAAGTAACTTTCCCGAGGTCACCCAGCCTGTGTTTAGAGGAGCTGGACCTTGTGTCTCAACCGTGACCCTCAAAGCAACCAGCGTCTCTCCAGGTGGCACCGGGGCCACCCTTCTGCCGTCTTGTCCCCTTCTAGCAGGGCAGGCAGCCGTGTCACTGAGGCCCCGTGACACGGTGAGGACACTCTGTGTCCTGGGCTGAAGGCCGGTGGCAGGAAGACACGGAGGTAGCTTCAGAAGGGGGCTGTCACTGCCCTCGCCTGGGAGCCGGGCCTGTCAGGGTCTTGCTGGGCATAGGACCCCCTTCCGGTAGCGGTGTCCCCCTCCCATGACAGCAAAGACTCCATGGCAAGAGAGTCTTTTATCCACAGCCGAGAGCGGTGGCAGACTTTGCCTGTCCGGCTGCCCTGCCGTCATGTGCGGTCAACGTGCTCTCCCCCGTTTGTTAATGACCCTTCCACCTTGGACCCTGGAGCCAATAGAAAACTCTATTGCAGGGGCGCCTGGGTGGCTCAGTCAGTTAAGCATCAGGCTTCGGCTCAGGTCATGATCTCAAGGTTCGTGGGTTCGAGCCCCGCGTCGGGCTCTGTGCTGATGTCTCGGAGCCTGGAGTCTGCTTTTGGATTCTATGTCTCCCTCTCTCTCTGCCCCTCCCACATTTGTGCCCTCTCTCTCTCTCTCAGAATAAATAAACTTAAAAAAAAAAAAAACTGTATTTCACATCTTTCATTTTCCTGGGCTCTTAAAAAAAGCTCCTGGGCCCTAGACATTGTGGCTCTAAAGGCTAAACGGAGTTGGGCTGTGAGTCATTCATTAATTCCTCCGGTGTTTATTGAGCACCTACCTAGCGCCAGGCACCATTGTCAACGCAGATGACCCTGGACAGGGACAGAGGGAAACAGGCTGGTGGCGTCCCAGGGAGCTTAACCAGTGATGGTGAAGCGGTGGGGAGAGGCAGACAGGTCCCCAAGCTTTTCTGGGCTGGGGAGGGGAGGGTTCCCATGGGAAGGGGTGCCCCAGGTGAGAGGTGAAGACTGGGTTGGGCAAGGTGGAAAAGTGTTCTAGCCAGGCCCCCCGTGGGTCTGGTGGCGGGAGAGGGTCTCAGGAAAATGCTAATGAAATCAGAGCTGCCCAGGTGGGGGCCAGGCCCTGGTTAGGGTAGAATTAAGCAAATGTGCCCAACCTGTGGCGGACTCTTTTCCATATTTGATTGGTGCCGGCTGAGGGACAGCCACCCGCAGCGCAGCCCCCCCCCCCCCCCCCCCCCCGCAGCGGGGGGATTGGGGACATACGATGGGGGTGGGGAGCAGGTTGCTTTCTCAATCCTGGGAGCCTGCCAGACTCCGAGTGGGCCGTACTCGGCATTCAAGGACGCTTCGTGGAAGGGAGGGGGCAAAGATGGGCCTCGTGGCTCGGCAGGGAGCTTGGCCTGTACGACTGCCCCCACTCCGGACCGGTGAGGGGTACGGAGGGCCGGACGCATGCTTGTCAGCCGTGGTGACACCTGCGGGTCCCATATCTCGACCGCCTTCCGGGCATCACCCCACGGGATCCTCACAACAGTCCCTGAGTAGTGTGCTGTGCGCACAGGGAAACTGAGGCGCAGAACGATGAACTGACTTGCCAAGGTGGCAGAACCAGCAGCCTGATTTGCAGGCCGCCTTGGCCGCTGTGCCCGAGCCCATGGAATCATCCTAGGCACCCAGCGAGGATGGCTATCTTCTTGTACCCACCTGAGATGGGAAGCGGGAAGGTAGCACGGCCCAGGAGCTAAGGGCGGGCAGACTCGAGCTCAGATCCCATCTGGGCAAACTTGGGCGGCCCACGTCAACTCTCCCGGGCTCTTTCCCCTTTCGTAAAGCCGGTCGATGACCGGATCCCCCTTGCACCGTCTCTAAGGGTGGGTGAGAAAGGGCTTCGAGGGCCGGAAGGGTCCCCGGGAGTGAAGGAGGGTTGTTTGAAGAGCCACCCTCCACCCAGGCTCCACGGTGCGGGCACGGACCATGCCTCTCCGCGCCTTCCTGCCGCCACCCCCAGAAACCCCACGATAGCACACCAAACTCCTGTTTTCTCCAGGAAGCACCACGGACAGCAGCGTGAGGCTCAGCGACTCTGAAGGAGAAAGGGGGGGAGGGCTCCCCGGGTCCACGTTGCTCGCTCTGACTGTTCCGCTGAGGTTCCCCAGGAGGTAGGGACAACGAGGGTCTCGTTGGCGGGAACGTTCCACGTTGCCGTCTGCCGAGAGGCCCGTGGCTTACAGGTGCTGGTCCCGTGGCACCGGGAGACACTCCCACACTCCTTACCGCACCCCCACCTCCTCTCCAAATCTCTCCTCTTTAAGCTTTCTTGGCTTCTCTGGGCGCCCCGGGCACTCACGTCTAGAGCAAAAGCCTGCCCGCTCTGGTCTGAATCCTGACGCTGCCGACCAGCTAGCTGGGTGACCCTGGGCAGGCCCTCATTCTCCCCGAGCCTTGGCTGCCCCCTCCGTAAAACGGGGGTAAGCGACAGCGTTCATCGCCCAGGGTGGTGCATTTGGCTCGGTGCCCTGCACGCGAGGGTTGCTCCACAGATGTCTACAGAGTTCATCATTTCTCAGTCCCCTGCCTTCTGCCCGGTGCCGTGGGGTTAGCTGCCCGAGTTATCGCTGGTGACGATCCATTTTGCAGGTGGAGAACTAGGCCCGCTTGGGCTAAGCGGCCTGTGACCCTAGTTCTGGGGCTCGACCCCAGGCGGGTGTGATAGCCCAAACCTGTTGAGTCAGACTCTTGAGGGTGGAAGGCTGGGTGGGGCTTGGCATCTTATTATTTTTTTTAATGTTGATTTATTTTTGAGAGAGAGAGAGAGCACGCACGGGGGAGGGACAGAGAAAGAGAGAGAGGGAGGCACAGAATCCGAAGCAGGCTCCAGGCTCTGAGCTGTCAGCACAGAGCCCGATGCGGGGCTCGAACGCACGAACCGTGAGATCGTGACCTGAGCCGAAGGCGGACACCCCACCCCCCAGGGATTGTGCTGAGCACCTACAGCTAGGACCCCCGTTTCAGCTTGCAGCCCCCATCCCTCCCACCTTCCCCAGCCCATCCCCTGCTTCCCTCATGGCCTGTGTTTTGGGGGGTGCGTCCCTCTTTCCCTGAGAATTAGCACGAAACCTGAGTCTCCTCTGGCAGAACTTTTCAGCCCTTTGGGCACACTTTTGAGGGTAATGACTCGCTTTAGAAAGGCCCCCTGTGTTCAGGGCAGGTGATGTTAGACACACGGGTTGCTTCAGGTTTCTGGGAAGGATCTGAATCTTAGTGACCAGGTAAGCAGGATCGGGGGCTTGACAGGGCCGCCCAAGGGCCACAGTTCTGGGGGACAGACACACCTATCACTGTCAACACAATACGTGCTCTCAAAATCCTAAATCGGATGTGCCTGGACCAGGTTGTGGGTAACTGGGCCCAACACCTCCCTTGGGTGGGCCAGAAACCGTAGTGGCTCAGGAGTGCCAGCTAGAAAATGTGCAGTATTAGGGGCGCCCGGGGGGCTCAGTCGGTTGAGCGTCCGACTTCCGCTCAGGTCATGATCTCACGGTTTGTGCGTTCGAGCCCCGCGTCGGGCTCTGTGCTGACAGCTGGGAGCCTGGAGCCTGCTTCCGATTCTGTGTCTCCCTCTCTGTCTCTGCCCACCCCCCACTCACACTCTGTCTCTCTCTCTTTCTCAAACATAAATTAAAAAAAAAAACATTTTTAAAAATGTGCAGGATTTTGGAAGCTGATTGTCAAACACAGATGCCATGGAGAGTTCAATTACATAAACTCCCAACTACACAAGCTATATTTGAAACAAGGGCAACATTTACTCCAAACTCCCTTCTTATCATTTTGCTACATTTACTATTATTTATATCCTTGGGGTCCTTTGCATTAGGGGATCTGGGCAGCGGGAATAACTAGACTCCCGTGTGCTTCTGGGCGGCTCCTGGTTTTGCCTTCACTGGTGTTACATTGTAGCTAGAAATTGGTTGTGGTGGAAGCAGTTATACCCCAGAAATTGGCAAACGTAAATCAAGGGTCACTGGTTGTGACACGTTTAGCAGCATACCACAAGCCATAACTTAAAAAAAAAAAAAAATTGTTTTTGGTTTTCCCTCGAAATAGACTTTATTTTTTTTTTAGGGAAGTTTCAGAGTCACAGCGAAGGTGAGCAGGAAGTTCTCATCCCCGTCCCCCGCCCCTCCCACACGGTCGGCCCCACTGTCAACCTCCTCCGTTTGTCTGTCGCAGTTCAGGAACGCACATTGGCACATCATTGGCACCCCGTCCATAGGGTTTGGACAAATGGATAATGACAGTTACCCACCATTACAGTATCCTACGGAATGGTTTCGCTGCCCTAAAAAATACCATATTCTACCTGTTTATCGCTCCCCCGGATGCCCACCCCTTTTTCTTGTTTGCATAGTTTTGCCTTTTCCAGAATGTCATACGGTTGGAATCATACAGGGTGTGGCCTTTTCAGATTGACTTCTTTCGCTTAGTAGGATGCATTTAAAGTTCCTTCATTTCTTGGGGCGCCTGGGTGGCTCAGTCACTGAAGCGTCCAACTTCAGCTCGGGTCACGATCTCGCAGTTCGAGCCCCAGTTCGTGAGTGCGAGCCCCGCGTCGGGCTCTGTGCTGATGTCTCAGAGCCTGGAGTCTGCTTCGGATTCTGTGTCTTCCTCTCTCTCTGCCCTTCCGATGCTCACACTCTGTCTCTCTCTGTCTCAAAAATAAATAAGCATTAAAAAAATTTTTTTTAAGTTCCTTCATTTCTTTTCCTGGCTTGATAGCTCATTTCTTTTAAAGCCGAATAATATTCTGTTGTCTGGATGGACCACGGTTCATCCGCTCACCTTCCAAGTTTTGGCAGCTATGAATAAAGCTGCTGTGAGCGTCCACGTGCAGCTTTTGGTGTGGACGTGGGTTTTCAACTCCTTTGGGTAAATACCAAGAAGCGCGATTGCTGGGTCACATGGTTAAGAGTAGGCTTAGTTTCGTAAAAAAACCTGACCAACTGGCTTCCAAAGTGGCTGCACCATTTTGTATGCCCACCAGCCGTGAACGAGAGTAAACCTGGGTTGTTTAGGGGCGCCGGGGTGGCTCAGCCGGTTAAGCATCCGACTTCGGCTCAGGTTATGATCTCAAAGTCCATGAGTTCGAGCCCCACGTTGGGCTCTGTGCTGACAGCT